GTTGTTTGCTTATCTTTCCTCCAACTTGGCTGGACTTGATTTCTTAAATGTAAGCATCACATGTGGATGGACGTTGTTGATGGATTTAGTTGCTCCAAAGGATTCTCTTCAGTTTTTCTTCACCCATGTCATGATGGAGCAATGACTTTTAAATACTCAGAAAAAAAAGTTATTTTGATTAAAATCATGGCTTACAGAGATAGCACTTATTCTCCTGGGCTGAGTACAAATAACTCGGCATTTTGACCCATGACCTTGTCCAATAGCATCATCCAAGATGAACTGGGCAACCTAAACAAGAATCACATGAAATTAGGTCACCGCAGGATGGCTATTTAATAATGTTAACCTAAAATTTTATCAGTTAACAATGTATTGGTCCAATAAACAATCTCTTTAATTTCTTTGTTTAAGGTTACTGTCAACAAAATTTGGTCAAAATTTCAAAATTCTTTTTTTTTTTTTGCTCTTTAGTTAGAAAGTAGTTAAGTTTAATTTGCTGGAAAAAAAATCTTAAAAAGATTACGAGGAACAACTGAAAGTATATTTTGGGGTTATGAGACTTGCCAGGGGGTTCAATATTATGTTTCATGGGTTGGTGACATGCTACATTGATGTGCTTAGGATGCCAAAGCTGTGAATTTTTGGGAGGCTAAAAAATTATTTCTTTCATAACAACCTGGAGTATGACAACAACCAAACTATTTTTGATTGTCCAACTTCAAAACAGATTTTCTCAGGAACCAATGGGAATGTTGAATAAGCCTCACAGGCTTCACTAGCCTATTGTATGCTGAGTGATACAGTCCAGTTTGTTTCTTGGTTTGCGGTAAAGTGGAGGCTGGTAATTCAGTAAAGCAAACACTGACAGTTTCAATGTGTTTAAGGGCTCGCAAGTGCCTACTAAAACAAAAACTGTGGACAATTTTGTTATTTTCATAATCCATACTTAATCCATAAGCTTTACAGTATATAGTTTTTTATGGTTCCTTTAAAAGTAGCACGCATGGGACGATTTCTCCAGAAGGCATTCCATTTTGTTGACAGTACCCTTAATGCTAAAGTATTGGCCTTGTTGTACTACAAGACACTCCTGACAGTCAGGATCCACAGTCTGGAAAGAAACTAGGACATTCTTTTGAAAGACAATTTAGCTGGCATTAGAAATTCTTCCTAACTCATCAGCCAAGACCCACTTGTGATGAAAGTATCAAAAATGAAAGTGATATTGAGTTTCGATATACAAGTGCAGACAAAAATATTGCAGCAGCTGAAGTCCACTGAGGGATTGAATCTCTGAAACCACTGAACTATGGCTTGTGGTTTTTCAGTTTTGATAAATCAGTGGGAACACCCACTGTAAAATTTTAGTTGATTTATTAAAAAAACACTGTGATACCTGGGTTGTTTTTCCACATCCAGTCTCTCCACTGATAACAATAACTTGCTCTGAGTTTATAAGTTGAAGTAATTCCTGAAATTAAGGACATTTCAAATTTTATCATTGACATAATAATTCTAATTTGTGATTAGAGAAATTTTTGTAGAGTAATGAAATGCACCCACCTCTTTCTGCTTGTAAGCTGGCAAACTTTTACGAAATTCCTATAAGAAATAAAAATAAAAAAAAAGAAATATCAAGAGCAACATCAGACTTGTTATCAAAAAGTCTCAAATCTTAAACAAAGATTTTTTAAGTCATCTTCTGTACTAAAAGTTTTCCATCAATTTTACCTTTAAATGATATCACAATGCTGATTAGTACAAGGTAATTTGGTCTATAGGAGGTTTTGATTGTAATGATGATATCAATACAGACCTGCATGGCCTTATAGCTTGCACTTTCTGACAAGAACCTTCTTTGTTGTTCTTCTTTCAACTGATGATCTAACGTGGAATCTTGCTGCAAATTCCTGCCCATATTAAAATGGTGCTTGAAAGCTACTGGACTCTTTTTCTTGTTCTCACCAGACATGCTCACCTGGTCTGGATAGAATATTTCAAAGTTCATTCAAATAAGTGCTTCTAAAACTTTGAATATAATGTAGAATCTTTCATGTCATTGAGAACAAATACTGAGAAAAATATTAAAAACATATCACATATCTGCATGTAAGAAATTTCATAAGGTGATCAAATTGTTCCTTATATTGTTTTGGGGCCAATACTTTGTCAATCAAAACTACAATTAAAGAGCAAAAGATAGTTTATGTAATTGAAAATAATGTACAGTATCAATCTATTTATGATCAAAATGCCAGATCCATAACAGTTTCTTTTGTTTATAATCTGACAATTAGTCTAACAGAAATGCAAATGCTAATAGCACTCTGCACAGGCATGCAAAAACAGATGTTTCATTTAGAAAACATTGCAAGACTTAAACTAGGATTTGAAAACCAAAGAACTCCTTCATTACACACATCTGAATGAGCAAGATTCCACTGTAGCCATTTTATATATCTGCAAACCTTCATTCCTGCGATCAGACTCATCATGCAGATGTTGTTCACAGTACTGCTCTCCTTTAGGACTATCATACCAATCTGTCCCAGCTGATGCTCCTTCCTCTGCTCTGTCATCATTGGTTCTTTCACTTTGTCTGATTTCTCCAAGCAGCTGACTTATTCTCATTTCATGTTGACTGTCCATTGTAACAAATGCACGCTGAATAACAAAAAAACATGATGATAAACATATGTTTTGCTAAGAATAAATATTATAATGAGGAGATGGAAAAATCCACATATAAATTGGTTGAATCAAAGGACTATAGCACTACCAAACAGACAGAGTAAGACAAATACAGTCTGTCAGACAGACCAAACTACTGATTGACTGATCAAAAGGTCAGTCCAGACAAAAAGGTAGGACTGACAGAAAGACACACTCACTCTATGGGCACATAAAACCAAGAGAGAAATATGCTTAGATTCAAATCCCAAGATTAAACCTGTTTAAGTTCCCTGTTTTTTCCTTTATCTCTGTGCCACAAGCCAATCTGTTTTCCTGTCAAACCAGAAGGGTGATGTCCACCTCTACCCCTTTTACCACGGCCACCTGAAAATTCAAATTTATCAGTAACAACAATTCCTTCAAATGATTTGCATGGTATAAAAATCCCAAAAACATGTTGACTTGAAAAGAAAAAAAAACACCACTTACTAGGAGGTGTTCAGTATAGATTACAGGTATATCTAAGATCTTCCATAAGAGTTCTGCAAAAATCCATGGAGCATGCTTATGGAAAATCTGAGTTTCTAAAGATGATAACTTGTAATGATACATCTAAGATATATCTTCCTACTAATTTAAAACCCATTATCCTCTGGCATTGTTGTTTTAACAAGGCTTTCTTGACTGGTAAACAGCGGGGATATGATGCCATTACAAAACAGTGAGAGAGTCTGTTTTGTTTTTTTTGCTTTTAATATGGTTATATGTTTGTTGCAATAATGTTGTTAATTCTACATTATCATATTGAAAAAACAATGAACAAAACATTGACCTCCAGACCATGGACCATCCCAATGGAATACCCAAAAGGACTGCCCTAAAATGGACTACACATACAAAATCCTACTGTGAATGAGTTCTATTGAAAGCAATACTATTTATACACTTACTTTGGATGCCCCTCCTTTATTTTCTTTAGTCAATGCCATAGATTTCTCAAATACAAACCACTTTTTGAGTTATAGGTAACCGTAACTGGAGATATCAGTCTCAAAAATTGGGGTAAATTTTTTCCTGTTCAAGGCAGCCTTAGGTTATCTTCAAACATTACAATCATATGTTGTTTAAACCAGTCATTTGCCAAATTTGTTTCAGTAAATGTTAAAAAGAAAAGAAGATCTTTTTATACATTACAAGTGAGTTTGAGAAATCTCCCTGATAGGATTAATTTGCAGACCAAGAAGGTTTAACAGTTAATAGCTGCAACTTCTTTTAAAATATCCATTACATGGTTATGACCATATATCTATTTAACACCTCATGTCAAATTTTATACTAGTATCCAAATTGACCACTTATGTCAAAAATTGGACATTAGTGTCTTAAATCTGACACTAGTGTCCAAAATCAAACATAAAATAGGACATTAGTGTCTAAAATCAGACAATAGTGTCAAAAATTAGACACTAGTGTCCAAAATTATATGCTAGTGTCTTAAACCAGACACCACTGTCTAAAATTGGACACTACTTCATAAAATCAGACACTGGTGTCTAGAATCAGACACTTGTGTCTAAATTTGTACATTATTGTCTAAAGTTGGACACCAGTGTCTAAAATCAGACACAGTGTCTTAAATCAGACACTGGCATCTAAAACCGGACACTAGAGTCTAGACAGAATTGGTCCATTTTGGTGTATCCCATTAGGTAGTCCATCGGGATACTTCATAGACTGGGGGTCAATGTTTTGTTCATACCCCACATTAATGTCATAAATATGAGGAAACAGTGACTCTATTTGCTCGAACAGTCTACTGCATGTGTGTGTTGTTAGTATGAACGTGGCTAGTGCTGCTACGTCTGCGCGTCACTATCATAATGCTGTGTCGTAGGATTATTTTATTACACCTGCATGATCATGCTACAAATATAATGCCACAATGGTCCTCTTCTGTTCATTTGTTGAGATAAAACCCCTAAAACCTGTTCTAGTGCCTCTGCGACTTTCAGCTGACTTGTCAGCTGTTTGAACCTTCAGACCTACCTCCCTTGTGCATTTTTGAGTCAACTTCAGTTATTACAAGCCTGGCCAATTGGTTTCTTGGTAAATGAAGTCTTGCTGTCTTCAGTAAAAGCCTCATGGAGGCCTGTAAAGCGTTACTTAAAGTGACTTTGCGGCTTCCTTTTACGCCGTCTCTTCCGCCATCTTTGATCACTGCTCACCCCAGGCCCTTTTCAGGACTTTCAAATTGCGCATATAGCCTGGAAATTAAGGAAGGTGGAAAGTAAAGTGTGTAAAACTACATGAAACGTCCTCATAAACATAACCAGATTTAACGTAGTTTCGTAACAATTTTCCGGCGTAACATGAAGTAGATTTGAAGAAATTTTTTATCACATTTTTTAATCTTTATGTATGGTAATATTATCAAATATGACAGATCTACCACCTGAGACAACTAATAGTGAGTCTGAAGCAGTTTCAAGTCAGCCCAATTCACCTGTTTTTGTTGGCAACAAACACGAGTTTGTGGAAAAACAGAAGGTAAAATGCAATGTGAATGGGCGAGACATTGTTGTGTTTTACCACAACCAACGCTTCTATGCGATGGATCAACATTGTTACCGTAAGTATTAATGCATGCGCAGTACTTAATGCATATGGCTTACATGATACCAGGGCAAAAAGATGGATTTTTTTTGGCCAATGATCAGTGGGCTATCCATTTTCACATTCTTGGTAATCATTTTTAATTCTTCGTTTCATGGAATTTAATTTCAACCACCAATTTCATGGACTTGATGGAATCATTTCAATTGCTCTTGAATTCAACAATTCCCATTAACTTGGCACTTGCATAGTTTCATGTAAGTGGTAACATATAGAAATAAGCAGAAAAGAAGACGGAAAGATCGCCGAATGAAGAAAAGTTACCCCCTAATCCCCTAATTAGTTACCCCTAATTGGAATAGGTTTGTCGAATAGAGTTCTTCTCAACAAAGGAGGGAAATATTTCTGCACTTGGATATTTTTGCTGAAAGGGTGAAGAGTGAAGAGTTGGAGATTCTGATCTTTACCTTCAGAGGAAATCAGGAATAAGTAGGAATTCCTCACAAAATTTGATAGTAAACTTTCCAACAGGGTATCCTTACATGAGCTGCAAAACTGCTAGCTATATGGACTGGTTCTGACCAGCCCTTCACATTGATTCTTCTTCATACTGAGTTGTTAATATTTATAACTGGTACTATTTGTTCAAGATGCTGGTGGCCCTTTGGATAAGGGAGACATTGAGGTGAGGTTATTGTATTTGCCTGCTGTTATTTGGAAAACATTTTGAAACTACTTAATTTATTATCATGTGTTTCCTTAAGAAAATTGATCTTAAATTGATAGGCTTGGTTCTAAATGAGATGGAAGATCAATTTTAAGGCAATCAAGTGTCTTTTCTATGCCATTGGCAAGCACTCTATTTTACAACTAATCAGAAATGGCACTTTCCATTGCCCAGTTGTGTAAAAACTCAAGCTTAGAGTTGTCATCATTTGCTACAAACTTTACACCCCAGAAAGCAGAAATCGTAACTAAATAAACTAACTCAGATAAATCCTTAACTGGAAAGATAGAGGCTCATTTCATTACTGGTACAAAGCAAAAATGTTAACTCTTGTTTTTAAAAAAAAAGTCATTCTTTTTATGCAATTTAGGACATTGGAGGCAGATGGTGCATCATTTGTCCATATCACAAACAAAAGATAACACTTGAGACAGGAGAAGGACTTCATTACTCAATTGATCCCTACAATTTGAAGAAGCCACCTGAGTTGTGCTCCAAGGGAGTGGTACAAAGAGTGCATCATGTTCAAGTTATTGGCAACAAACTTTATGTTACCCTCTCAGATTCAAAAGAATACCTGCCATCTGATTATTTTTATTCAAAAAGAGTTGTAAAAAGTAACTGAATGACAGTGTTACATTAAATAATATACTATGTACACAATATAAATGTCAAAACACAGGAATGCTCTTCAAAATAAAAATATTCACACTTTTAAGGGTGCTAGTAGGTTGCAGTGGATGTAATTGAAAAATTTAACTCATACTTCTCGAAAACATTGAATTGTACAAAAAAATCTTTTTTTATTCCATCACTCTTCTCAGTAGCCCTCATCAAATATTTTTGTACAAGAGCTAGCAAAAGCAAGAACAGTGCCTCCCTGATAAATTTCTGTAGAAAAAAAAATTAAGAGAGAAACAAAGGATTCATTTGCTTTCTTTATTTTATTTGTCTTTTCTCTTCCTTGCATAAGTTACCATTACACACAGGTCTTTGTGAACTTTGTTCTTACCAGCATACAAAGTAATCTAGTGAACAACTGAACATATCATGTAACACCAAGCTTGTGAAGATCATATTTAATGTGCAGTGCACCTTTGCAGGATTCCACCCAACCTCTGCCTTTAATTTCTCCAGAGTACAGTCAGACTGTTCTTTTTCCACAGAACTTCAATGAAACTCTCACTAAATTTGATTGCAACTTCAGTCACAAACAGCCTGTTAGGCAATTGATGCACTATCGTTGCTCACATTATGCAGTGTTTCCAGGTAAATTTCAGGTCAGCTGTCATCATTTGTACCAATAGCATCATCATCTTGCTCATCATCCTGCAACATTTCATTAAAAAAGTAGCAATTTCCAAAGAAAAACCTTAAGTAACAATAAATAAATTTTTTTCTTGACTTCATACCCCTAAAGTAAAACTTGCATGTGCTGCTATTTTCTTCAAATTTTCCCCTTTTGGGCTTATCCTGGGGGGGTTTCAATTAAAAAGATATATGGTTGGTCACCCACGCTTATGAGAGGCAGAGGAAACTTACGAGTATATGTTTACGGCAGAAACAACAACCATTCATGGTGAGATAAATTAAAATTGGAGGGTTTGCTAAGATGGTGATACATAAATTATACATGAAAGTACAAATTTTTATTGACCTTCATTTCACGAACATCTAAATCTTCCCCATACTGTATTGCATTATCAATCTGAATAAGCACATTCATGATAGAATCTTCGTCACAGAGGTTTAGAGGCACAAATGACACCATACTGTAATCATCAATCTGAAAATTTACAAACAAAAAGTTAAGATCAATTCTGGATCTGCATAGCCAGCTTCTCTGTCTCTCTGACTAGGCTATATTTTAAACCATTGCTGTTTGCCAAATTTTCCACAACTCCAAAAAATGTAGGCAACCTTTGTTGAAGACATTGTTTCAATTTTATTCAGCATGTTTCAAAGAATAAAGTTTTTGAGTGTGAGACAAAGAAAAAATTCTAAGTCTCCACAAGGAATTGAACATCAGACCTTCTGATTTGGCAATCCCATGCTCTACCACTGAGCCACAAGGTAATTGTGACTATGGTTGTGAGGCTTATTACTGTTCATTCCTCTACTATAGAGACTGAGAAAGGCTTGTAAGATAATCCATTTCTTAATCATGATCAAATTGTTTCAAACTGTTGAAGAGAGTTTATGTTCAACATATCTGTATGCTTACCAGTTGTGCCAGTGCTTTATTAAGCTTCTTAAACCTCTTGTTTGAGCTTGATTCAAGGTCTCCTACAAGGTCTTGTGGATCTGGGTCCAAAAATCTGACCAAAAAAAAAACATTTTGTGTTATGATCAGTTTAAATTATGATCTGAGCCGAGGAATAATTTTAAGCAGAGCCTTCAGCTCCCACAGTTCTTTACAATCTGTTGAACATGAACTGGAGTCTCTCAGACAATATTTAGATTCTCAAAATTGGTGTGGAATTGTATGACTCCTTATCCCTTCCAGAGCTACAGCCATATAACTTGTCAGCTGTATTGGACATTTTTAGTCATGCACTGAGCAGCCTCGTAAATTTATTGGCACAAAATAAACTTTTTACAAATGAAAAGATTTCATGTAATGACAATCAATATACATTGTACAACCCACAATTAAAGAAATCAATAACAGGTAAGTTTGACCTCTAGGTTTTTGAGCTGTGCAGATATTCTCATTTCATGTGTGATTAAATTATAATTTAAATACTATTTTATTTTTAAACAAAATATTATTTTCCAAAGAATCCATCAACTCACCTATCAACTTGTTTCATTTGCTTCTTGCTGAGCAAATCCATCTTACTCATAACATTAATGTGAGGAATCTCCAATTGAATCATTGCTGACAGTGCAGTAAGAATTCCAGCAAAGAACTTGCTACAATCCACCAGAAACTGAGAATCAATCAGGAAAACCCCACACACTCTGAAATCCCATTGGTTTAATGTCTGGACCAATTGTCTCATCACAGGCATGTGAGTGTAAAGTTCTATTTGGCCTGTAGTATAAAAGTTTAAGGTTATTGTCAATGAACAAATTGTATTCTTAGACTTTAAAGCCACCTGTCTTTTCATGTCTAACTTAAATTGCTTATTTTGATAAGCTTATATCAAAAATAATTATGAGATATCTAGGAGAGGTGGGGTTCTCGTCAATCTTGTGCTCTGATTCACTTTACAAAGTTGGCAAAACAGGCCTTTCTTGTCCACTAGCAAATGTAAACTTTGTTCTGATAAAAAATGAACTGAAGCTGCCTTATGTGCTCTGTAATTTCTGGGCAACATTTTCCTTACAAGAACAAATTTTCTTTTACAAGCAGGCACTATGCACACCTGGACAATCAAACAGGACATAATCATCATCAACATCTCCCAGTTTTTCTTCTAACCAGTCAAAATTCTGTACCAAGTACCTAGATGGAGGAAAAAATTAGAGAATCACATGGTTCACAATTACTATGTTTGTGCCTCTGAAAATTTGCTGGCACTAAGATGTAATACTCTTAAGTTTTGAGAATCCTCTTTGAGTTTCTGGGAATAATTGTTAATCAAAAACAGGTAAATAAAGGGCTAACTATATATTTGCTAGGATCAAAAGTATACATAAATCCCAAAATTGCAATCATTCCTTACTCCATACAGAAAACAAGTCCTCCATTTGGCCCAAGTCGCAAATCATCAGCTTCCATAACATCCTCTAACTCAACTAGCTCCCGTACATCTGTAAAACACAAACATAAACTGCACCTTAAAAACAAAGAGTCAAGAATAGTTTGATACTTTTCAGCTCTCTCTTTACAACTTTAAACTTCAATTAAACTTTACACTGCAAAAACATAAATTGTCCTGCCCAAAAACACATCTGCAAAGTGACCATGGCAAAAGCTTGAACTCAAACCCTCTAATAAAGTATCCAAGTCACTAAACATTTGCCTACTATACCTCCTAATTATCAGAGATTTCACACACTGACATATAAAACCAGCTTTTTCAGTTAACATGATCCTCTGGATAAATAAGTGCTATCCAAGTAATACTACATCCAGCCTTTTAAAAGCCTGTGACTTGTATTTTGTTTGATCAGGAGCAGCTTCAAACTACAGGAAAACATTTAAAGGCATCAGCCCAAAATTTATCTGGCCCTGCATTCTCTCAAAAGTCTTTAGTGGAAAATATTATTCTGGAAACTATTTAGCTGTTTCTATTTGAATTATTAATATAAGATTAGCATCGCTGTTTGATATTGTATGGTTTTATTACCTGCAAGAACAGGATAGTCAAAGTGCTCAGCAGCAGGATCAAGATTGACCACATGAACTGTACGTTGTACGTTTTCACAATGTTGGAGTATTGCAGAACAGTAAGTGGACTACAAAGCAAAAAAAGATACATAAATAAAGCTAAGTCACCAATCATCAGCCAGTCCGCTTTCCTCTAAATCCTGAGTTGCACTTGTAAGTTTGAAAAAGCTGAGTTTCGACATTCATCTCAATTGTTGTCATTGTCTTTATCACTTGGTATTTTTCAGTTACTGGAGCACAAGACCGATCGAACCCTTCCAATTTTCTTTGTTGTGCAAAATCGTAAATGCCTACCTTTCCGCTTCCAGCGGGTCCCATGACAAGCTGTGCATATCTCATGTTTTACAACATAAAATTATCTGAGCTGCTCCATATGCAAGATAAACATCAAGTCAAGAAGTCTCCCAACCTACGTTCCTCCATGTTGTCAACTTCCACATGTTCTCAGTATGTACTTCGTGTACACTAACGATAGTGTCTGTGTAATTTGAGATCTTCTTTCCGGTCATAAGACAACCTCAATTCCTTTTGGTAGAGAATCGAATAAAAAGCAACGAGGGATTTGTTTACCCTCTCTTGATAAAAAGATGTTCTTTGAAAATTTTGCAAAATTTTGCCATTGCAGCTATTTCTCTGCAACTCCTTCACATGTAACTCAAACCTGCCCTCACCTTTGATGATCATACCATCATTTTAAGTATTCCAAAGATGGAAATATGATTTACACCATTTATATTTGTTATTTACGTAAGTTGTTATCAATGAAACCGTGGTTTTCCTTCTCGACTGACTACTTATTACTTTATACCACCTAGTGGATCAGAGAGTGTGTAGCCAAGAAAAATCACCACCACAAAAACTATGCAATGAGTTGATAACATTTGTGAGATTGATTAAAATCCAAATATCCACATCTACTCCAGTCTTACAGATGATTTATTTCATCAAAATCAGGATAATTAATTGTGCTTCAGTTAAACTTTAATTCTACAATATATATTACGGTTGAAATAATTTTTTTGTTACCAAGTCAGAAAATTTTTAAATCCAACTTGTAGTAGATAGTGAATAGCAAAACACAAAGCTTATCAACAAAACTGGGTCAATCTTTAATTCAAAAATCGAAAACACTTAAGGCTACATGAGAGTTTGAGTGTCTGAGCGACAGTGCAATATACAAACAACTTGAACATATCACACACTGGCTACCATCTCTAAACAGAAAACTCAGCTAATGGCAGTGCTGTGTACAATCATACTTAGATATGTTTAATCTCCCATCAATCACAACACAAAAACCTTAGCCATTTGCATCTCTAGGCTAGCTCTGAAAGTCAACTGTTTCTCTCTCATGAATTTGATAAAAAACCCATATCGAGATGACTAAGGAGAGTTGAGGGTTACGTCAAAGTCCTTGATACAAAAGATTGTGGCTTTTAGGAGGAAGAACAAGTCACCAATGAAGAACTTTTTGACCCTTCAACCCTGAGAGTGACAAGCATCTAATTTCTCCCAACATTATAACCCCTATATCACACATGAAGGTCATGAGAATAAAGGAAATGATCACCAATTAAATATTCTCTTGATTGATAAACAAATTCTCTTTGTCAGCACCTTAGAAATTGTATAGAAAACAGTATGGAGAATATGCATACTGACGTTAGAGTGTAAAGGGTTAAGGTCTGATCACATGAACACTCCATTGAAACGTGGCACCTTCTGGTACACCAAAATTTGCCACAGCCATCATAGTTATAGAACCATGCGACTCAACTTTCTTGGTACAATCACTTTGTCTAAATTGCAAACCAAACCTCAAAGTTAAAACTCTCTCTACGGCGATGAAGGACCAAAGAGGCGATATATTCCTTGTACACTTTACACAGAGGAGACAAAGCAAACCACTATATAACTCTAAGTACCAAGAAAGAGTGTACTTGAAATTTAATTTCAGTGTGGGGTTTTACCCCTCTTACCCATATATAGGCAAATGTTGACAGCAATGTCAAGTTTGATTTCAGACAGCTTTGGTTTTCCTTTACATCCACTGCATAATCCCTTTGATGTTAAGGAAAGCACCAATCAAAATATTTTTTGCACTTGAGAGTCTATCAAAAGGTAACTAAAAAGAGAACTAACAACTTACATTAGTTTCTTTCACTTGAAATTTCTGGAGAAGAAAACATTGTATACAGCAGTGACAAGAAATCACCTAATTCCCTCATAGATCATACATGCAAAATTATCCATGGATGGGAAATATCAGTTTGCGCCTAATCCAGAAAAGATATGAATATTTTTTCAAATGAGAGCCAGAGATATTACCAGTGAATACATTTGGTTGATAAGAGATAAAAGTTAGCCAGCAGACTATTACAAACATAAAAGACTACTACTAATATCTGTTACTACAGAAAAGCATCTTTAGCAATGGATATACAAATTACAATGCCAAAAGCTAGATTTTGACATCATTGTCTCTAGAATTAACAGTCAAGTATTTATAACAAGGGGTCACTCTGAGGGTCTCTTTTCAGCATATTTCTTGGTATAATCTTCAGCATTCTTCATGAACTTTTTCTTATCCTTCGTATACTCCTCTGCTAGATCTCCACGGAGAGGATGCTCTGGTTCAGGTGAGTGAACAAGTGCCACAAGAGCTTGAATAACTGGAAAAAGAAATTGACAGAGTATATATTACATAGCCAAGGTTTCAACCCTTTCAGTCCCAAATGCCATTAACATGTAAATTTGTCTCGCCAGTTTATTAAATCATCCAGAAATCAGACAATTAGACTAGACAAACTCATCACTTATTATGTTGATACATATACAAAACCAATTTCTTGTCACTGATTCACATCCAAACGCATAAAGCAGAGGAAGAATTCAAACTCAGATCGTGGAGATAAAAAGGATAAATAGGCAGGTACATAAGTGTGTGCAACTTGCACACCCTATAATGTTCATAATCACTGATTTCTGGCCCCAAAATTTGGCACAAGATTATCACCACAAATTGAGAATTCTTACAGTTCACTGACTTGTTTGTTAGTACTAATTTTCACCACAAGGTAGTTCCAAGTTGTACAAGCTGCAGTTTAAAAAATGGTTGTTTGCCTATAAATAAAGAAAACTGTCTAAATTTTACATCCACCCTGTACAAACCTTGATCTGTCTTTGTTGCTGGCTTCCAGTTTTCTGGGCTGATGATTGGCAAACATACTTGACCTTTTTCATCAATGTTGGGATGATAAATCTTCGTCTTAAATGTAATCTGAAAAAAGGGGAAATTGTAAGTAGGAATTAACCCCCAATACAAATACTACAAACAGTTTTTTTTGCATAAAATTCATTCTTTTCAGCTGCTTCTAATATTCAGTAAAATTATAGACAGAACCAAGAAAAATATTATCAAAGTGGCAACCTTCTTGCCAAATTAACATGCCAAAAGTTTTTCTACTTATCCTGACAATCAAAAGAATAGTAGGGTAGAACACTAAATGAAAATAGACCAATCCATCACTTCAAAGAGTTTCTCTGACAGGTTTTAAGAACCCATTTAAATTCCCGCATAGAAAGAGATGCTGAGAGACATCACTGAAGATCATTGGTTCAGACATCTTGAATTGAAGTCCAGTCAATCAACCATTAGGGTGCACTAACTACCATACATATAAAAACTGACCAATAAGATGTATTGCATCGTTTTTCATCCATTATTTTCACTTTAGCAATCTATTTATATTTTTCTCACCTTTGGAGGCTTAAAAGGATATTCTGCAGGAAAATTAATCTCAATCCTAAAAGCTCCCTTGTTGTAGGGTGGCTGATCCTGTAAAGGAACAGCAGGAGCTTTATATATATCAATGTGTAAATTATCTACAATATTTGTTGATATTTTTTGGAGAATTTGGTTCGCTGCTGAGTAGCTTTTGAAATCAAATCCTTGGCAACAGATTTTAATCAACAAGAGAAATATGTGAGAACACTAACCAGATTGGTGTATGTACATAACAAAGTATATTCAAGTCATTTAATCAAGTGAAATCACATAACAAAAGAAAATCTATATCCCCATAGACTTTACAAAGTTTTCTGTGATATTGCCAACAAAGGAGGGGAAATTCTGGAAAAGAGAGCTTATATAACTATTCAAAATACCTCATAATAACTCCAAGTTGTAATTAAAGCTCGTAAAAGGCACCGTTCGCATAATCCTACACCCATAAATTGAATAATAGATGTAACAGAGTTTACCTGAATAAAATTTTTTAACAAAAGTTAAGGAAAGAACGAGATTTTATGTTATGCAGACGCAGCAACAAGTTTTAAGACTTATTTCAAAGGTAAGTTATCGCAAAATCTTCCATGAAAGGTGAAACCAGATTAATTTGTAGAACGATAACGGAAGTTAAATCGAAACAAAACCCTTCCGAGCCACATAATGTATAAATTAAAATAAAGCAAGTTTCAGAGAGATTAAGATACCTACCGGTATGATTAACCCTTGCCAGTATAGAATATTGCAATCGTCTACCGTAATATTACGAAATATTTTCTGACTAGAACCTCTGATTTCTGAGAGTTCCTGTAAAGCAGAGAACACCCCTGTCAATGCCGACATTTTGGCCAATTGCAAATTATTCTGTCTCAGTGATGTAATAAAAACAGCACCAAATGTATTCAGGTCAGTGAATTACATTCTCATCATTGCAAACTGGACAACTAATGCTTAACAAATACGTATTTAAAACCACGATTATCAAACCAAAAGCTAAACTGATCAAGACAACTGGAGTTTAAAACGGAGACAAATGTCATAGGGATCCAAATCATTTTCATTCGACAAGACCGGAACAAGATTTCCGCAACATTTTGCTCAAATTTTTCGCAGGTTTCCATTTCTCTGTCCACTAATCTTTTACTGAAACATTACTTAACAAATCTATATCCAAATTAACAGAATTCACTGATATTATCAGAAGCATTCCACTTTTAAAGATAGCCTACCTTTCCCAATCTGCGTGTAGCCGCCATGCTCGAAGGAACTTCTCACAGATTTAATAACCAGTCTCTGCGCAGCCACTATTACCCACGATTCCATGCCGTAATGAAAGCAATTATTTTTCGGGTGGGGTTTTGGGCGCGGCCTCGTCCAAGCTACGTACAAGTTCTTTTTTAACTCGTGCAAACGATTTTTTATGGGGACTCCGATAAGCAAATGACTCACTCACTCTCTAAGATGTAGACCCTATGCCAAATTCGTTCAAGCACGAAACCATATTGGAGCAATAACCGCGCATAAAAACGATAGAAAGGCTTTGTTTACAGTTAATACAGAGAATCGTTGCAATAGATATCACCTACCAATGGGCTCCTGCACCTACCAAATGAACAAAAATTTATCGAGTTCAGGCACAAACCTAAGTCGTGTGAATCGCTCCGGTTGTTTATGATCTGATGTAAAACTGCGGAGTTGGATGGTTACCATAACTGTGGATCTTTCCGTGATTTTGCGGAGGCTTGGCTGGGCTTTGGAGATAAGAGCAACCTTGCATTGCTGCAACACTAATAATTACAAGTTCACGACCATTTTTCATCCCAAATTAAGTACCTTACGCACCAGTTGGCCATAGACATTCTTTAATTTTAATTACACCACTATTTTATTTTCCTTTTACCTCAATACTTTTCACAAAAAATGAGGAAAATAAAGACGATCTAACTGACTCATACCCTTGAAAATTAGTCATAAAACTTGTTACTGCATCTGCATAACATAAAATCTCGTTCTTGCCATAACTTTTGTTTAAAATGTTTATTCAGGTTAACTCTGTTTCATATATAATTTATGGGTACAGGATTCTGCTAACGGTACCTTCTATAAGCTTTCATTACAACTTGGAATTGTAATGAGGTATTTGGAATAATGACATAAACTCTTTTTTTTTTTTTTTAATTTCCCTTCCTTTGTTACAATATATACGTTCTTAGTATGTTTCTAAAATTTTGGTTGATCTCAGCCTGAACGTTCTTGAAAAACACAGGCATTCCACGCATGCAAGAGTCATTTTTATGGGGTGATACGAAATGGGACACTAAGTAACTGATGTTTGCATTTACTTTCAAAAGATTCCGATGAAAATGTCGTTCAATGGAGAACAAAAATAACCTTTCAATTTATCTGAAAGAAACAGCAGCCCGCAGAGATGCCTCAGGAAGAAATTTAGCAAATGTACCAAATGAATCCCTCTTGAATTACAACTCTCGAATGTGTTTTATTTCTCAGTTAGTACAAAAATGGCCATCGATCAAGTGAAAGGAAAATCTCAAATACATATTTATTGCAAGGAAGGAATAAGGTTTGCGACTTGAACGAAACTTTCCATATCCAGTACACGATACAAATGCCTGTCAGTAGACGAAGCAAGGCCAAGAATTTCTTGCATACCGAAAGAAAAACCCCCAACAGCCACCACAAATATCTCAACTCCATCATCTTTTAAATTGAAGGCCTTGAATAATGTAAGTTCTTTCCCCATGTTAGATAAGCCATCTGTGACTAGGAGAACATTTTTGGGACCTGCTGGGTCAAAGCCAGACCTGCATATAAATTACAAAGAGATATACTTAGTTATTCAAGCAATTTCTGAAATTAAAGCAAATTTTCAGAAAGCGACTGGTATCATTCCTCGCCATCTGATTTAATTTACAGGGACAGTGCAGCAAGTTTTTGAGGGGGGGGGGGCATTTTTGGCTCCGTTATATTTTTTGTTAAATTATTTTTTGTTTAATTGGGGGGGGGGGAGATAAAGCCCCCCAGTCCCTCCCTCTGCGCGGTCCCTGTTTTAAATAGCAAACGAGATCAAGCCACAAAAGTGTAAGTCAGTTCTTCCGACAGAGCGTCCAGTCAGAGCATCTCATTGAATTTAAGATGTTTGTCATTAATCAGTATTAATTAGTATTTCTTCTCCAATCTAGAGTTGGAGAATCGTGTATCTCAGAGACCCTTCCCCACCACCCCGGCTATGCTCTCGTGCTCTGATAATGGGCTGATCGCATTTTTCTTGGCATGAAGAGTCATGAGCCACTCCCTTTGAAAAGGATCAGCTAAGTCATTGCAGCATGCAGGTTGTCAGTTTTCCCTGACAATTCATTGGTACCCTATAAAATGCTAGGTGGTTAGAGGCAATGTGTGACTTTCGAATACCATGCCATGGCAAACAACAACTGGACGAGGCTTAGACCAAGAACTCTTGATTGTGAGTTCAGTCTGGTTCAGTGCAACCGCAGTTTCCACGTACGCGACATATACTTACAATGCACTTCCAAAGAGCTTGTCTTTGCACACCTGCAAAGCCTCCTGGGTATTAGTAAGGCCAGCCTTTCGCTTCACAGTCGGCAGTAGAGCTATTGTTTCGTTCTCAGAGATGAATTTTGGCGTAAGCACAGTGGCGTCCGTAGCAAAATTCACCACAGCGTAAAGTGTATCAGGTCTCGCCTTTTCAGTCAGGTAAACCAATGCTCTAAGCCCTTTCTGGAAGTTTTCTTCTCGGATCGAGTTGGAGGAATCGATGACGTATACGACATTATTGATGGTATTATTTGGCACAGTTTCTTCACCAATTTGTCGTTTGGATCGTCTGGTGATCAGGCTGTCATCGCGGCGAAGGAAATATCTCATGATTTTCTCCGCTGTAACGTTTGGGGCTGGGATCTTCAGGTTTTCTGTTGGGAAGCAAATGGGTTAGACGACGAGATCAAATCCAAAAGTACAAAGCAAAACAGCGTGGTCCTATCATTTCAAGCTCTGGATTTTCTAACTCTTTGTTGTCCCAAACTTTGCGTAAAAAGATTTACTATTCTCATCAATGATCGGTCTAGCAATTCGAGTAAAGGATGTCACGCAACGACGGGAGAAGCGTCCTCGCGTGATATCTGAGAAAACGGCTGTGAAGGAAACTAGCAATAAATCAATCAACAGCGGATATTACCTAGCCTCACGCCACGTAAAGACTGTTTGGGAAACATCTGGCTATAGCACAATGGTGCCTTTAGTAAACTATGACTAACAAGGAAATCTTTAAGATGAAGTGTATCTTTGCTTGTTACTCGACAGAAACATAGGAGAATTGTCGGAAATATAAAATCTGATATTTAACTCGCGATAAATTCCTGCATTCCGTTTCTAAACGATACCTCCCACAGGTAGGAATCACAGCCTAGCAGGAATTGCTTGGACCAAGTCAAAATTTTGTTCAGTGGTTTTAAGTCAGGAAATTCATGTCAAAGGACCGAGAGTAAAAATTGTCCCTACTCAAATGGATGCTATGAGTTACTGGATGGACAAATTCATTTAGACACTGAGCCATTATAGCTGGGTCACATCCAGTCGCAATTTGCACCCTTTATATTTGCAACACTAAAACGGTAAGATTGGCTAAGCGTGATTGGTTTACCTTTAAATTTTTCTAGTCCCATTCCTAAACCCGAATCTAGGCAATTATGCCTTACCTTTCACAAAGGGGCATACCTAAACGGAAATACAGAGGAGGATAACTGTGACTCTAACCCCGAATTCGATGACAATTCTTTCTCCTTACCTGCGTCGATTGCGTTTGAAAGATATCTATTTGAGTGTCTTCGACGAGCAAACACAAAACTAGTTGGTCCAAAGAAAAGCACAAAAGCAAACAAAACTTTATAGCGCATTGCGAAGTGGTTCACTGACACCAGTTCCATGGGTAATGAGTACCTCTATACCTCGTAATCCACGTTAAATACCGAGGTCCCTACAGATGTTCCCTATGTTTTCCTTAAAAATAGATAAAAAAACATCATGCTCATGTAACACTACCTGATCATGTTACGCTTATTCAGACGATTGCCAAAAACGAAACTAGAATTTTCTTATTTTTAGCATTTTGTACGAATTGATCTGATAACAAATTGACCCTATACAAACTCTGTGAGTTCTTAAAGTACATATGACTGGACGTTTCAATTTTCTTTGGGAATGGCCCGGAAGAGTGTAACAGTACGTGCACCCATGGATGTGTATTCAACAGTCGACTAAAACTCAACCTGATCATCTGGTAATGCCAGTGGATGTGATTCATCACGCATTAAGGCATCTTCGAAGTATTCTTTTTCACTAGGAGATGGTAAACAAATTGACTTGCTGTGTGGTCGGTTCAAGGTTCATTTATGACAAGTACCTTCTTACTTAAGCTAAAAGGTGAAAATGTTATTGTAAAGAATTGATATGCCGCTAACATTCAAACCGTACATCGTTCCTGCCTTCAGATTTTATTCAGGACTTCTCTATCTCTTCTTTCGTGTTTTGGACAAAGAAAAAACAATATTCAATTGAGTGTCGAAGGTAAGTACCTCTTTTTAAGCCAATCAGATTTTCCCTTAAAATGCAAAGCTAAAACTTATCGCGACTTGATCATTGGCGTTTTCCCCATGCCTCAGGCAATTTGCTCGTAATTACTTTGTGACCGCGAATTCTATCTTCTTTTGTTGATCATATCTCGCCTCGCTTCGATAAGCTGATCCCGCGGTGAGTTCGTCTTGGAACTAAGGGATATAACTGAAACGAAAGAGGTTAGTGACTGAGCGAAAGTCATAATCACAGTCACGTGAGGGGATCCGTTCTCATTTCGAGTGTTATCAGTCTGGTTCGTGTAAACTGATTGGTCAGTTCAAGTTCATATGCTCACGCAGCAAAGTATGACAGTTAACTGTCAGTTTTTAAATGAAGGGTTTTTTTTAATTCACTTCAGACTTGAATATTCATACTTAACACTTAATTACATTCGAAAATCTACAAACAAATAAATATATTTATGAATATAAAGAAAATGAACAGCCTTAAAAGAACTAAACTTGAGTCACATTACAATTCAGAATAGGAATTATGACGGTGAAATTATTATAACCAAGGCCGCATCTATATGGTATTGGGTACCCGAGACAACCCTCCCCCCTGAGACAACATTACGGAGCCTTTATGGGAAATTTCACCTCTGTTGACCTTCGCTCGGCCTGGTTACATATTCGACAAAATGGTGGAAGACAGGGAAAAAATAGCTGTAAACATCCTGGTCAGAGCGTGTGCACGCACTTTATGTTTGAGTTTCTCGTCTTAGGTGTGTGAGACAAGGTGTTTTCATGACAAAAAGTTGTTCCGCCTTCCAGGGTCACTCTACTCACAGAGGTGAGACAACTCGCCCCTTTCCTCTCCCCCCCCCCCCCCACCCCGAATTGTCTCGCCTACCCGGGACGGTCGGCTAGATCGTTTTAAGAAATAGGTGAAAAGTTAGCACGCCTAGGGTCAGGGGGAGAGTTGTCTCGGGTATCCGAGACCATATAAATGAGGCCTAACAACTTTACATGTAGAGATAAGGAGGAATGGTGTCGCATCTGAGCACAGATAAAACTGGTCAGAATTTCTGTTTAAATTCACCCACAGGTGCTAAACAGCAGTCTCAGTTAAAAGTTTTTCTTCTCTATCTCTAAACTTTATGTACTGTGAAAAAGCATCTTGAGTTCCCTTTTGATGATTTGGCGAATTTCTTTCATTTTCAAACCAAACACAACGGGATTTAATGATGAATTTAGCATCACTAAAACGGTGGAAAATTGAATGGCTCCTTGAAGTACAACATTTGGGCCAGAAATAAGCAACACAGTCAAAATGATAAAGTACGGCAAGTTACAGAAAAGAAACACTACAAATACATACAATACTTTGACAGCCAAATTTACGTTTCGTGCCGAGTTTGTAGTGTTGGACAAATGATGTGCCGTCACTTGCGCTTGACTTTGGATAATCGCTTGATGCCGGCGAGCCACGGAGTAAACCTTAAAGTTAACGATACAGAGTGAAAGCATAGCAACATAAGAAAACACAAGAAGCATTATCTCTCCAACGCGAATTTCAATGAAGACTACTACAAACACAATCGATAGCGAAAATACCCATGCGCTGGCGACAACTGCAATGATTCGTTTTGGTGTAACAAGCTGGTTATATCGAAGATGCAAAGTTATTGATAGGAAGCGATCAATACCGATTAGAGTTACTGTCTGGAGGGATACAGAGACCAAAACAGCGGAAATAACGAAAAACGCCATCAGTACTTCTTGAACATGTTTACACTCGTGACTTTGTCGAATTCGTGCGACAACTGCGATGTACAATGGATGAGTGAAGAAGCCACTGCTTAGATCAGTCACAGCCAGGCTTTGCATCAGAATTTTTGCTGTAGTTGGAATTGATGAAGCTTTTTGTAGGGCGAAAATTATGGCTGCATTTCCAAAGATTGCGGTGAAAGTTAGTAAACCGTTCAGAATGCACATGGCGATGTAAACCGAGTCAACGTGTTCAGCCTTGGCATAAAACTTGAACAGGACTTCCTCACAAAGATCGTGTGTTACTCCCATTTGAAATGAAGCAACATTACCTTTGACTTATGCAAGTTGTATGCAATAATAGTACAAAGCTTTCCACGCAATAAAGTTTTGTTTAATATGGAAAACAGGTGCGGTTGTTGTTAACTATCAGCCCAATTAAATTCAAGAAATTAGCTAATTTCGCGTTTGCTCCCCAGGCAAAGTCTCTCTTTAATTCTTGGTTTGCGCAGCTGATAGCGAGTTTTGTTCCAGAAGGTTTTACAATATCATTGCTGAAACAAATTAAGTTTATATAAATTCTCCACACTGTCTTACAAAAGATGAACGCAGTTTTAAGGTCAGTCGTTTGTAATTATTTTCGGTAAAAAAGACGTTTTGGCGTCAGTTAATTGGCGTTCGGCTTGCCTTTAGTCAAATTATAATTTCTAATTGTTTTCGATTTGAAGGGACGGTGCTAAAATTAATTACGAAGAAAATAAATGAGCAGGAAAAGAAACAAAATGTCGTATTAGGCGACAACAAAATTTTACCGGCCACGTTTGAACACGAATCTAAGTCGCTAGCACAGCTTAAATTGAATAGCGTTCAGAAAATCCCCTCAATAAATGTAAGACCCAAACATGATTACCGATTGGAATAGTTCCAAACACACGACCTTTAATGTGAATTTTCCATGTCAAATTTTCCGCCAGCTTTGTTTCCAAGGAAAATAGCTGTTTGTCAAATCCTTAAATAGAATTGGAATAAAATTACAGAGTCTACACGGGAGTTTATTAAAAGACGGATGAAAAAAAATTTCCTTACTGACCGTGTGTAAAGAGCGCGCCACGAAATATTGGCCAAAGGACCTATCAGACCTCAGCCTCGGACTTTTATGTTTCATTCTAAGACCCTCCAGCTTGATTCTTGAGAGGTTCAAATAAATGTTCTTACTTTAACATAAGTAATATAAGTTCTTACTATAATATAAGATTGTTTGTCAATCTTCATTCAATTTACATATTCACCATTTTCCAATAATGATAGCAAAGAAAAATGCAAAGATCAGAAAGAAAAGACGAAATGGTGGAATAGGAATTGTTTAGCATGCATATTAACTTGATTACGTTGTGATCTGAGCCTGGCAATTTGTATCAATCAAGTCTATGATTAAGACCTATGTTGAAATTGGTGTTTTTAGTTAATGAAATATTCGAACTTGGACTTATTGGAAAATCGCAATGTTCTTGACACATAACTCAGCCCAACGATTGGAAATCTTGATCCAATTCCTACAAAAAAACATCATGCAAACGACACGATTCTAAAAACATATTGGCTTTGGAATGATCAGAGTTTTCCAAGCGTGTAGATACTAGGAAATCCCTAAACCTCGACATTTGGAAAAACAGACAGTATGTCATATTTTACCGATGAGATCAAAGCAAAGAAAACTTTGCTAGAGAAATGGCTTGGATTCATTTAATTAATTTGAAAATTCATATTTCTCTCTCTCTCCATTTTACAAATCAATAATTTACCCTTCGACTGTGGATAAGAGACTTCGCAGTAAATTCATTTAGCTTCTTTGAAAGCACTCTACATTAATTGTAACAAATTTTGACGATGGTAATTAGTCATACATGCCAGTCGCAGGCTCATTTTCCGTCCCTCTCAAGTATTCTTGCAAATTGAACATCGCCTTAATATCGTCAATTAATGAATCGGTCGATTGTAAATTGTCAGATAACTTAAAGTGGCAAGATGTTAATGAGAGTCCAAACCTTTTTTTTCCACGACGAGCTGTCCCTAAAATGTCTTTGCGAAAAAAATATACAAAGAGCTGAAGAGCTTCATATTGGTCATAACTAATAGAACTTCAGAAATTGAGAGCCGTAAATTTTTTATTATGGCAACTAAAGAGTTGATTTTTGAATCACCTATTTCTATGTTTAGGTAAAACAATATTTTTGAGGACATCTGTTTACAGCGTTGCTTCGCTGCAATAGCGTTGGTGGTTCAAATCCGCTGCAACGCGGTGAAATATTTGTGCTATGTAGCGCCAGAGAAAATTTTTATTGTGTTGTTTGACGTTCCCAGCTTTCACAACAACCATGAAAAAAATCAAAGAAAAACAAAAGCAAAAACCAAATTTTAACAACAAAAAGGACTTTTTCTGAAAGAAAGTTATGTCAGTTGAAGTTAATTTATCCCTCTTTTGAGAAGGGACATTTCTGCTCAGGAGACACTTTCTATAACCCTAAGGTGTTCCTTTAATGAAGGCTTCTCTGTATCACGACTTTAGTTCCTCTTTCACTTTACATTGCAGTAGGGACATCCTTGGTTTTCCCAATAATTGCACGTGGATATTCCGCTAACGACATCAGGTTTCTCCTCTGGACATGTTGCTCGTCTCATTATTTTAGCGATCTATTAATGGAGGGAATTGGGGAGCATATTGGTCGACATCAATCAAAAAGGATGATACCGAGGCAAAACTCACTTTCTTTACACTCCTGATTAGCAATTGTAACATAACAATGCACGACATTGTCCACAGGCTTTCCTCGGTTCTCAAAATTGTGTTGGGTCAAGAGGAAACAATGATTTCCCATTATTTTCTCTTAGTTGGGTCGAATACACTTCAGACCCTTCCCCCCCCTTCCCTCGGAAAAGGTCTGGTTCAGTCCGAAATTACCTTTAGGCCCTGTAGTTAAAGAGCATCATCACACTATCTCATTGGATCTATATTTTATGCTTACCTTTGGAACAAACAGCACGAGGAGAGTAAATGTGGAGATGAAGTTCAGTGTTGTAGCAATCAGCGCGTATCTGGCTTGGATATGAGCCTCTCCGACAACATAGTACAGAGGAACGTTTATCAGACTCATGATCACGACATTATACACGCTCATACCGATGTATTTGGAGTCATTCAGTGATGGGAAACTGACGTGTCTTGTCTCCCAAGCCAGAAAAAGCCCCAAAGCCAGTAACAAAGTTTTCCATATCACCCAGAGACTCAACCATAAATTCTCATTACCAGAAGTGCATATTAGGACTTGTCTCTGTGTGATCACGTTACCATCTGGGGATATTTCCTAGTCATTAAAGTGAAACTCTGTCAGGAAAACTAGTTTAAGAAGCCTCGGTGGACATATTTATTGTCAGTCGACTGATAGTCAGACGATACTCGATCGCTAGTCGACCGACAGTCGACAGCCGATTGTCGGCAGATGTAGCAGTCGATCGTCACATGGCCATCGGTTCATAAGCGACTCATTTCCACTCAATCAATTGCCGATAGTATGCCGATGGTTTATTGCAGGGTCGAGTGTCATGAAATATTGGGAAAGTGACATCAGAAGGGAACTTAGTCGTTGTTCACCAACAGAGTTCTGTGTATTTCCTCTAGTGGTTAGATGGTGGGGAGGGGTTCCTAACGAGTCATGTCACTTTCCTTTGGGGGGAAAAAGTTATAATTTAGAAAAAGACAGAAAGCAAAACTTGAAGGATCTGCATCATAGAATTGAAGAATGCATAAACTTTTTAAAGCAATTAGTTGAAGTGCAGGCATCTGCCTTTTCTGTTTTCGAAACACCACGAATCTTTAAGAGGCTTTTTGTCCAACCTAGAAACTGCAAAACTGTTTATTTTGAAATTTCAACACAGTCCTCCTCCAGTAAATGATTCATTTATTTATATATCATGTTTGTTTAACGCGCGTTAAGACTTCCTACCTTACTTAAATGTTTCAGACTTCCGGCAACAGGATCTGATAGCTCCCATGCTGTTAGATACACAACGTCTAAACATACCAGTCCACAAACAATACCGAATAAGTGACGATCACGCAGGAAGTTCAACTGTGAACACAATAAACAAATGAATTAAACTTATCAATATATGGAAAATTGTCCAAAAAGAACGTCTTGATAGAAAGTAGTTGAGAAATTCTGGGAGAAAGCAACCCAAGTCAGGAAGATTTTATAAGTTACGGCCTCAGACTGTTATTAAGTGTTATTTTAGGATCCACCTATTTGTCGACTGCTGACTACTATGATCGTTATATTCCGGCTGCAGGAACAAAATGGCAGAAAATTGCAGTAAAATGGTAAAATAAATTGAAATCAGGTTTTGAAATATTCTGGCAATGAAAGCCCAAATGGATGGAAAATAGACGACAGATTGTTTCGATTGACTAAGGTAAGAGTTCTGTTTTGATTGACGTTTTCTTAACTGAAGTAATCTACTTCCTGGTAACTTAAGCTCTTTGATGGGAAACGACTGACCTCTTTGTCAAGATGCTTGTTGGTGAAAATTTTGTAAACCCTCCATGTTTTGACGAACATTGTGCCAAATGCCAGGCTAAATGTAAGAGAAAAAATCCACCATCTTGTCTGGAAGAGAAAAGAAATCCAAATCCAACGTGTATTAGCTTTTCTTTCTTTGCAGATTTTCCATCAAGCTAAACAAGCAGAACGAAAAATGGACAAATGAGTGGGGGAGGGGGGTGGGTGGGGAGAGATGTCCCTCCAACTACATACCTTACAGATCACAGTTTGTGTGTCGAGTGACTCGACAAACGTCTCTGCCCCAAACAAAAACACACAGCAATATGCCAGCATGCAGCCGATCACGATCATGTTATTGAGCCTTGGAGATGATTGTCTGATGATACTAAAGAGTAAAACAGTGCGATTAAAGGACTGAGTCACTGGGATTAAAGAATTACATTATCCGGTATTAGGTAATTAATCAGTTGGTCAGAATGGCTAATTTTAAGGTTTCCTTGTTTATTTCTGTGCTAATTCAGTTACCGTCACCTGTAATGTCTGTGGTGGCAATTGACGTAAAGAAATCCAAGAGATGACATTAAGCCCAGCATAGCCACACAACTCAACACATAAAACAAACTGCGACTAGTCTTTACTAGCGGCTCATTCACAAGATCCTTATCTCTTGGTGGGTTACCATCTGAAAATAACAAAAGTTATTGGTATTCGCGTGAAAGCGAGCCTGCCACCGAGCAGTTTATTTTACAGAGCCAGCAGTTTGCTCACATCGGTATTATACAGGGTGAGGGTTGTCTTTATCGTGATCCTGGACCAAAATTAAAAGGAAAAAAACAAATGAAACGAAAAAAAATAGTCTCATTTGCGGCGTTGGCGCGGCAATTCTTAAATTGTAAATTCATAGACGCCATCTTGAACACTCAATTCTTTGGAAGGGTGTGGAGAGGGACAAACCCTCTACGAAGGGGGTGGCACACAGACTAGAAGAAGGGGTGGAACAATGATTTCCTTTCCTACCCCACCCTTCCCGTCTGCTGTTTACCAAAATCAAACAGGCAAACTAGGTAACAATTCGGCTATAACGGCAAAAAGCATTAAAAAAAAAGACGTTTGAAATAAAGGTTATCATTTACCTGGCCATATAAACTTCTGTCCAGGTATCATGGTGAGCTCTCCATTACTCAGGTCGTGTTTTTCCGGGTCAAAGTGACCAACTCTCACTTCTTTGTCACCTGCGAAAAAATTCTTGAATTTACTACGTTATTTTTGTCAAAAAGTCGATATGAAATTTAATTGCATTTTCATTTGATTACATATCGAAATTTCTATATAAAGATGTTTACGATATTTTGAGTTTAAAGTTTGTCATGAGATTCCTCTGATAGCGTTTCTGGTAGTTTTTATACGTCATCAGTTTAAGAAACGATGCACTGTTGAAAACGATTACATCATACATCGGTGCCACAGGAGATAAGATCAGGAGTACCTGAATTTTTTTTTTTAATTCCTCCACTCACACCTTTATAACCTTGAGGATTATTCGAAATTTTAATTCTCCTTATAGTCAGTGTTTCGTTTGCTATTATCACCTTCGTGCCGGTTATCACTCTCATCATTATTACTGTACATGTGTTACCTTGAAACTGTTCGATCCATATTTTATTGAGTCTTTCTTGGTTTCTGTTGAAGTTTATAACTCCCTAAATGAAAAAGATCCAAGAAAAACAAACACAAGTAGATAGATAAGAAAAACATTTACTCGAAAAGCACGATCTTCTAACGTCTGCCTTTCGGCGCTTGTACAATAAATGAAAAGTATTTATTCCTGATTTTCAGATATCTATTCGATCTATTTTGGGGTAGAGTGAACGTAACTGCTTTTTTCTTTCAAAGAACAAATTCTTCATCATGATCGTGATCGTTACCGTTATGCCGGTTTTCTGTGTCGTGTGCGTGATGGAAATCGTGAGCATCATCTTTATCGTTATCGTGATATTACATGATGATTTTAACTTTCATTGTGAATGATTGTAGTCGAGATGGTAATGGTAACGCTACCATATTCTTCAACAATCCTGATCGTGACTATCATCATTGTTGTCATTACTTTTTCATTGGTGATGCACTAATGGTTTATCTTCTTCGACTTTTTTTATTTCCAAAAATATGTCAGCTATGAAAGCAAGCGTTAGCTGAAAACTCTGATGATATTTTACACAACCGGACTCACAGTTATCCCATAAGTCGAGATATTAAGAAGCGTTCTCGACAGAAGTTGCGCAAACTCGGCATCTTCATACGAGAAGTTATCAACAGACTTGTTGTTTTTGTTCAGGTGCGTCATCGTCTTATTCAGTGCCAAGGCTAGTACCCAGGCTGCGTCATATCCTAGCGGAGCATACCCATTGGCGGAGTATGGATAGTGTTTAAGCTCTGCAGTGTACATGTCCATAAACTCCTCTGCGGTCTAAAAAGACAGTGCAAGAAGGGAAGAGAACTATGACTTCTATGAGACTTGTTTAAAGATACCTCATAATGAGCCTGAGCCATTTAACCCAGAGTCCAATGCACTCATTATAGAGCCACTCCTTCTCTCACCATCCTACGATGGGCTGAACTAGAACCCAAATCCCTCACTACGCCTCTCATTTCCAGTACAAAGCAAAGAGATTTGCTTTCGAAATTAAGGGATTCGTGTTCCGCGCTATCAATATCTTCGCAGCTAAGTGACTCCTAAAAAGATATGAACAATCTCCCCCTTCCCATAAGGCTTACGTGGAACTTTCTCAGAGGGTCTCAATAGGGTGATAAATTTTACAGCTAACGGTGAAAATTTTGGCCAATTAATATTTCCAGTTAACAGTTAATATCTTTCCATTGTTCACACCAGAATTTTTTTTAAGCTTAACTTTTTTGGCGACTAACGGTTAAATTTGTCAATTTTTACGCCTAACGGCTAACTTTTTTTGGCTTTTTACGGCTCTCGGTTAACCCAATTGAGACCTTCTTCTAAGTGTGCGTGGCAGACGCTCGATGAAAAAGCGGAACGCGAGATTTAGACTGACATATCCGAGGGAAAAGTCCTCTCTTCACTTCTGGTCTCTCCTGTGCTTCTTACTCGTGGTTACATCGGTTGTTCGCATTTGGGGCTAAAGGCATCCTTACCAGTCCACTTAGTGTGTGATTTGTTGCAGCGTCCATAACCAAGTCCTCCACAGCCAGGAAATTTGCTGCCGCGGTTCGAATGTCCTCAGCTGAGCAGCCTGGCACATCTGCGACTCGCCACCAGTCCTTCGTGTACCAACCGGGTAAGAGCCATTGCACGTGAGGACCATACAGTTTGTGACGGTAGGCCTGTTGAAAATTATTAGGAAGCGTGATTTATCATTGGTCCTTTTAGTGTAGCCTAATGCTTTCCAAATAGAACGCATTGTGATTGTTTATCGTGAAACTATCACAAAGAAATCGCAACAGCCGATCACTCAGAACAAACAAAAATATAATGAAATAATATTGAGGAAATACGAGGGTAAAATAATTAAATTGGATGCTAAATCAAACGTAGAGAGCAGCAAAGGAAACAATTTGAATCCACGATTCGTTTTGAAACTCCATGGGCTATAACTGTAGAACTGATGTTAGATGTGCAGTTAACCTTTTGACCCCTAAGGTTGACTCGATAATTTAATTTCTCCTTACACTATCAACCCCGAATCACTCAAGGTCACGAGAATGAAGAAATGATCACCAACTAAAGAAGCTCTCGTTTATTTTATAAAATCTTCTTGTCAGCCTCTTGGGAAATGTATAGAGAACAGTACTAAGAATATATATACTGATCAGTTGGGGTGTAATGGGTGGTATCGTGTCAGTACGTTTTGAGAAGCATTATAAGAATCAGGATGTGGTGAAACTTTTTTGCTTACCGCACACATGATGAGCCTGGATTTATCTGCGTACATCATACTAATGATTATACGAGCTTTCCTTTCCTGTAACAGAAAAGTTTATTACATAGGTCAGTTTCATTGAATTTGTAAAGTGATTTCTTTTTTATTTTCTACCATTGTCGATCGCATGATTTTTCGGTTCAGGCTAGACCTGAAAAGTTTTGAGTTCGCGACAGTGAATGACTTTTTCGATAACCCCAGCGGGTGCGGAAGTCATCATTAGAACCAAGTGAAGAGTTGTTTGTCAGTCGCTTGCAATGAGTATGGTTAGTGAAAAGTGACCGGTCACTGGTTTTGCCTTGATGATAGTAGCTGTTATAACCGTGAAATATTGCTCACTTTCGATTCATTGCTAACTGTTGGCTGTCGGGTTAACAACTAGAAAGCTCAGTCAATAGCATGTTTGCGAGTCAATGATTGTGATTGTTGAATGTGATTTTCTAGTCACTCGATTGTGGTCAGTCAGGCTGTTATGGAAGTTAGTGCCAGTCTCTCTAATGTAAGAAGCGTGGCAGTCGGAGAAGGTTGATTAAATAATGTCTCAGTGTAGTCATCAGTCTGTGGTATTCGTGGATCGTCCGGTTCACAATCCCGAGATACTTGTGAAATGTCAAAAGCGAGACTAGTACCTCTTAGGCTGACGATTGATCGATCAACCGATAGCCTTCAGTCATATAACAGTCTTTGATTGGCCTCACTATTCTTACCTTTAGATCTGATATGACATTATCTGGGTCCTCGACAAAGCTGTTTGTAGAAATCACAGAGATGCCTTGTGTTTTCAGTATTGTCTGAAGATCCTCATGAGCCTATCAAGTAACAAGTGGACACAATCAAAACTATTACGATTTGGTTGTTATCATTTTAACATATATCAATTTGCTTTATGGAAAACGTAACCAACTGTTTGTCTTCGTTAAGCATGTTGTGAACTGTCTAATAACTAGCCTGCCAAATTTAATTTTGAGTTTGATCTCTTTCGAATCAGCAGCTTAACCCTTATCAGCCCCTGTCTTAACGAGAATCTTGGAAGGTGAATCTGCCATAATGGCATCATTGACTGAGGGTGAGGTCAAGAGGGCTGCAGTCGTCTGTCTTTTATGAACCAGGAGGGAGTCTTGATATCCAAAGAACAACAAATGAATTAGCAAGCTTCGTCGTGGCCCATTATGCTTTTAGTTTCTTATGTTATTGTAAAACCTCACAATTTTATTATAAGAAATTATCTTGCTCAGAATATACTGGGCTAACAAGATATGCCAATTTTTCTCTCACAGTATTCCTGTCTGAACACAGGACTTGCCCCGTCTTGCCTGATGGGCGCGTCCGAGAAACCTAATACGCACGCACTGGCTATCATAAATCTGTAGTGTGTATACATATCATACGTCATTGAAGAGATCCTCATCTTGTTTGACAATAGCAATCCGCTTCCAACCAAATCTGCGCAGCAGTGAGACAACAGCCTTGTTAAGAATCGTTTCCGGGGCATTGATTCGGAAGAAAAGTGGATACCGGGTTTTCTCCGAAAGACGCGGTGACCCAGCACTGAAACCAATCTAAAATGAAAGAGATAGTGATGCCATCAGAATCCCCTGCAAGGAAAGTCGTGAGACGGACCATTGATAAATAGTGTAAAAAAACAGAAATAACTAGGTTAAGGAAAAAAAAAGGGATAAGGAACACAAGGGAACACAAGAGAATTGAGCCGACTTCTCTTTGAGATAGAAATGCATTATATTGGTTTGCGTTTGAACGCTTTCCTGGAAACTAGATCCTTTTCAGCAATTGTCATCAGGAATGATTTTCATTTGGCCACAATGAAAGTGTGAAAATTCCCTAAATGGCTCATGGGCTATAAAGAAGTTTTTTCCTTCGGTATTGTATCTCATTGTTATAAAATCCACAAAATGATCATTCGAAAGGATCGTTCACCAGTCGCTCGAGACATACAACATTCTTAAATCTTGAACCGTTCTTATGCCCCAGTGATTAATAACGATTCCTTATGTGTTTCACTTCAAAAATGTGCATCTTCGATAGACGCTAATTCTACCCTACCAGATCCCTCTCGTTGCTAACCTGAATCAAGTTCCAAAAGTGAGACGCAGCTGCCACAAGCACCGCTGAGATTGAACATCCGGGACCTATTAGGGCCATTTTTGTCGGTGGTCTTCGCAACTGCTCGATCAGCGCTTTGATAGCGTAAGAATCTGAACACTGAAAGAAGGAAAACCTTTGAAGACGGTTTTATTCCGATTGCTTCAGGGAAGACAACCCTGAACTCATCACAACAAAGATTTCAATTGATTATATAACTCGATTTAGGGAGTGTGCTATTATGATTTTCAGACCAGTATGAGTTCACATGGGTAAGGCGCTCAAGCGGAAGATGTGAAATCGTGCTGCAGGATTGTGTGATAAGCACTCCTGATTGTCACGGTGATATTTGAAGTCAATGCCTGCAATACGTCTTCTCAGGGGGGATCAGTCCGGGTAGGCTTTTGTAATCAAGAATGAAAAATTTTTAACACGCTCGCGCTTGCAGAATTATTAGTCAAAATAAAACAAAACAAATCATCCCTTCAAATTATGCTAAAATTTTATTCTCAAAGGAGAGGTGACAAAAAAGCTCTTCAAAATAAGAAGAAATATTTAAAAATCCACTGCAACGAAAATAAGAGAGACTTGAAGCATGAAGCGGTTCGGGGAAAGGTGGAGGTTTTAGAGTTAAGTGTCTTTGAGCGATTGTGCCTTTGTCCAAAAAAGTAAAACTACTGTTTTAATTTGTTAAATTTTGAACCCAAAACAGGACATCTATACGACTCTGTTCGCTGAGTATTGCATGAGATTACCTTAGTATCCCTCCAGTGTATTAGAAGTGTATGGTTTGGTAGAATGTCACTTCTGTTATTAATCTGCCTGACAGCCAGATTAATGGCTGGTTGTATGCCTGCACTGTTCCAACCCTTGTTTGTAGTATTCACCTCAATAAAGCCTCCAATATGCAATATAGACTTCTTACAGAGCACTCCTTTCACCATTACACATACCAAGACCTTAAGAACCAACTCCATGGCTCAATCACTGGTAAAAGATTCTAAAATACGATTTACGTCTCATTTCTTTATACAACTCTGTTCACTCTTCTGATTAGGATTCTAATAATGTTTAGTTTTTGTTGATCTAGGACTAACTGCAGCTGCTCGAGGTTGTCTTAAATGCCGCTAAGCCGGTTGGCTTATAATGATTATTACGATCTTTAAATTCATCACAGAAGGGCAAATAACAGTCAGAGTATTATTGTTTGGCTAAATTCGCTACACGTCTAACACGTGTCTCAAAATCTCGTGCAATCAGCTTATGTTTTTTTTTTCTTTCAAGTTCGTTCGCTCGTTCGAAGAATTAGAGCTTTTTAAAGCAAAAACTAGCCTGGATAGCTTTGCTGAAAGCTGCTTCAAGTCAAATATCGTTATGAAATACGAAATAAATTCATTGTCCTACTGCACCTCAAATCGATTTCGCCGGCTTGGGCCAGGGGCTTATCGAAGGCGCATGCTTTACCATAGGGCAATTAAGGAGATTTTTTGCAGCTGTTATGCCAACAAACCTCCCATTTTTCGAAACGGAAAACTACTAGTTTACACTGAGAACAGCAATCGTCTGTTCTGTATAAATTACATAACTGCGTAAGGTTTGTAAGCCAATAATTTTTAGAGTAAAGAATCATGGATTTCAAATGGCAGAATGAATTTGTTAGAATTATCTAAACTGGGTTCCAACGTGTGAGAGAGGAACTTACTCAATTAATACAAAATAAACACCGCCGTTCATCCACCTGCTCGTGAAACACAAGCTCAGGAAACCTTAAAGTACACAAACGATATGCGGTTAACTTGTGCAATTACAAGTCCACTAAGCTTTAGGGCCTTAATGGTTTTCATTTAGTCTCCTCGCCATTCTGTTTTTTTTTTTGTCTCAACCAATTGCTGTAAACTGTTGTAATTTTATATGTAATGACGAATAAAAAAAAATTAAACAAATAAAAACATTAAAACAAAAAGTACAATATCTCTGCCTTCGGGTGCAAATTCTTTCTTGGGAAATGTTAGTCATTTTCTTCGTAATTCCGTCTTACGACAAATAAAGTGATTTCCTACTACTCCACTGGGAATTTTAATCTGCACGTGATCGTCAGTATTCCTGGGGTTAATTTTGGTTCATACTGATAACATGGCTATTTACTGTTTGATCCAAATTCTTAGAGCCTCATTCATGCCACGTCGAATGATTTAATTGAAAACCATTTGTATCAGTTATCGGTTTTCGGTCTACCACTTTACAACAAATATGTTTTAATTATTCATCAATCGCGGAAATTCTCCGACATGCTTCTCAAAGTGGTTGAATTTGGAAACGCTGGCTCTAAGGTTTTCGTTTGGGCGTGAAACATTTTGAAAATGGAACGTTTTACAAACGCTCACGTCACTGCTCTGGGCCTTTCTCTGCGGGATAATTGCAACCTTTTAGTGCGCATGGTTAGGGTTGTATTGAAGCATTTCTGCCGCTGGTTATATATGAGGTGGGGATTTTTTTTTTCCTTTTGGCATTAATAGCCTTGTGTTCCGGTGGGCGTATTCTATGGATTCTTTTTTTCACGCAGCAATATCATTTTTGGCAATGTTGTGGTTGTCATTGGCGGTTCATATGACCTAGGTATCAGATATCTAGCCTATAGCTGTCCAATGTGGTCACGGGTGCCATGATACTGGGGAAACCGAAAGAGGTTACGTTATGAATTGCAGTTAGCTAATCAAGGCGGAAGTATTTCAAGGTGCGGTATCATCAACAAAACAGGATAATTTTCAATATCAACTAAATTAGAGGAACTGAGACTAATACACTAAGTCGAGGTTAACTGGTAAACTCCACGGGAATGGTATGCAAAAAAATGCAACTGTAGTGATTTTTGGACTGCTGTTCAAAAATCATGAAGTTGATCACACAAGTCAAACATATTTCTTCAGTGGCTTCAGACTGATAAGAAATGTCGAACAAAACTTCATTTTTATTCCCCCTTTTTTCTCGACCAAGTTTTCTAGGCTCCGTTCAAACATATTGATCTTACGCTTAAATAATAAAAACAATCCAATTATTTTGACTTTTTATTTTTTCAGTAGGTTCCATGATTGGACTAGAAAACTCGCACCACCTTCTCAACCAATCAGCTGCGAAACTAAAACAAATAGCGACTTACGTAGCGCGTTTTCCTGGGCTGAACTCCCATATTAGTATCGAGGCTCTAAATTACAATAATGATAATGATGGCTTTCATTCAGTGATGAGGAATACTCCACTTCAGAATGGACCATATGCATAAGTCAGGCTAGACGCAACTACCACCAGAATGAATCAATGTTTGTCTTACGTCATATGAGAGTATGAGGTAATAGTGTTCGGTAGAATTTATGAGACCGCATACATGAGATTAATTGGGTTTAATTGGAAAAAGATCTGTGGGGATCAAGTTGGTTATTTGGTTCACTAGTCAGAGACACTTTCTTGGTCTGTTGCCTAATTAAAGTAAATGATACGGCTCAGTAGCCTACGTGTAGCCCTACCCTCCCCCTCATGGAACAACGGAAGGGAGCCTCTGGGTGTCTCCTCCTTCGCTGAAGAAATCTGGGAAGCTGAGGGTCCCTTGGAAGTTGAAAACTCTTGGGAAGCAAATAGGAGCATTGCGCGATGTGGTTACGTTATTCTAAATACAGCAATACTTTGTTTGTTTAGTTTCCCATGCCGCTTGAAAAATTTTCATAATGGACTTAGCTAATTGAAAACACTATAAAGGTCGTTAAAAGGACTCGCGCTTTCCTTTGTTGTTTTTACCAATATATGTTATAATTGGCAAAAGTTATTAAGTAAAGTCCTCTTCACTGGCCGACCATGTTGTTTTGAAAACATGGTTAAGAGAATCTGAACAATGATCAGTGACTCCCTATGGAGGTTCTTACAACTTAAGTAAGTGCTTATTTCAGATGTGAATTTCTCGTGAAGGGAAAATTTTTTTCAGATTTGAAATGAGTGGCTAAAAATAACTCGAATTCTGTACACGCACAGATACTTTGAGAGATTATTCCTATCCCTGTATTATTTGAATTGTTGTCTTTGCACAACACGCAACTGGTGAAGGCAATCATGTAGTCCATCGTCTCCAACTTTGAATGATTTTAAAATTACGTTCAGGGGCATAAATTAGAGTTGGAGTAAAAAAAGGTGTTTTTGAAAAATGACTGAAATTTTTAAGTTTTGAAGAACACATTACAAATACCGCTTTTGTAAACATTTCGATGAATGTTACCAAGACGGACTTAAACACTTAATTCTTTTTCTTAGATGTGTATTTTTGACCTTCAAAATGATTGTAGAATTCTGAGGGGCCTCATGAACTGGTCTTGTTATTTAATATTCGTGATTAACCTGGTGATTAATAGGCCTCTCGTTTATGACATTAAGGACTGAAGGAAACATCTAAAAATCGTGCACATTTTAATGATTATTTTATTGCGCGCGCAAGCGGTCAACTGACCTGTTTGCTTTAAACTGCTGGTCGTAATGCAAAAATTCCTCATGAGTGTTAAAAAAAATTAACGAAAAATATTTAGTTTTTGCGAGATGTTTGCCGCCCCAAATCGAAAGCATAATTTGCGGTTGCAAACCGGAAATCCTCTTCTTAAAAAGTCATAACAGAAAGCGGTTGTCAATGCGGGATTTCATAATCCTCCAAGCAGCTTTCATCTCCAACAGATGACACGCCAATCACTTGTGGAATGACCAATCACCGCTCGGCGGCATTTGCCAAGACACTGGCAGGCTTCCCAAGCCGTCTGAGAAACAGAAAGGATGCCTAAGTATTTCCTGTGGCCTTGCGGGCGGTAAAAAACCCGAATGGAACCCATGAAGATCATAGAATAAAAGTCTCGCTGCATCTGGGTTGAAGAGCGGCGAACATTATTTATCGCGCTCAAGCTCCAGCAGATGTACTTCAGAGAAGTGTTTCATTAGACCAGCAGGCAAATGCTATAGCAGGCCTGCAAAAGATTATTGTGCTGTCTGGCGATGATAAAATTAAGATAACAGCTCTTTCAAATAGGGTGAAGTGTTTGGCCTTAATACTGTAGTTCTTCAATCTAGGCAATGTTTGTTTATGTACGAAGCCAGCTTATAGATAGCAATCGACCTTGTGAACTCATGTGTTTTAAGCCTTTTACCGCGCGTCTTTTATATTGATTTTTCCGCCTTCTTGCAGATAGATCCAAGATTGAAGAGCGAAGTTAATTTTTTGTTTTCGTGACTGCGGAAGAAAACTTAAGTGTGAAATTAGTAGAAGTATAACATCTTTTTATCCTTTACTTTATCACAAAAGGTGTTATTGCATAATTGATTTTTTTGTATACAAGCGAAGTTTTGTTTCATCGCCTCGGGGCGAAATAGGCGGTACTCTATGGGATGAATAAATCTTTATTCTGGAAAAAGTCACTCATATAATCGCCCTTGAAAAAAAATACAGAAACAATTTGCGAGTATCTTTCCTAAGATAGCATTTCCCAGGAGATTTCCCTGAGAACATTGATCGTGCAATATAAACTCCCAAAATCGAAGGAAAACATACATCATCACGTCCCAATTTAGTTTGTTTGATGCTTTCAATTGTCTCCGAGTGTCACCAATTCACAGTAATTAAACTAATTAGGCCTGCTGCTCTTATCGCAGTGCCAGAAATTGACTGAGGGAGGTCATGATTGGTCAAAGTTAATTGCTTCAGCAAACTTCAAAGTAAGTGCCGCCGGTCCAACCCATAAGACGTTGCGGGCCGACCAGCTTCCCTCGTGAAAATTGATGAGGGAGTTTCTAGCTAGATGTGTTGGTTTGGTGTTCTCCTATTA